ACCAGAAAAAAATTCTAGGTCAGTCCTTGATTGCGATACATATTTTTTAACGAATAGTAGGTCGATGTCATTTTTAAAAGTTTAATGACCAAAATTCGACCACCTTAAAGTTCAATGAGCAATTGAAAATGTTTTTCAAAGTTTATTGAGCAATTGAANAATAAACCCTTATCAACACAATTGTACGAGTGGCTCATGTATCCACCTACCAATTTTTGGCATATACGAAGTTAACTTTAGATACAGTGGTGTAAAATTGATTCCCTAACGATTTGTCGGCCTTCGGTGGTGTCATGCTTACTTAATCGATTGTGTTTTTAATTCTCCGAGCATAGAAAAATCTTGATTCTTGAAGCTACGAGAAGTAAAAAATTGATCAATCCCAAATATATCCGACAATTTCTAAAAATTAACATCTAGAAGTAGATATGAAACTAGGCTAATCCGTCATCAATTGAATTGATTGTGGACTGAATACTTCTAAGAAAATATTAAGAATTTCAAAAAGTACTTTTTTTAAAAAATTTATTATTCTCCTTTCTAGTGATAGGTGATAAGAAATTATTAAGAAAGTACAAATTACTTTCTCTAGTTATTGAAAGAAGACAATAATTGAAACAATAATCCCCTGTCTCATTCAACAAGCAAATAATTGTACGAATAAACACTATTGCTATTATTTTCAGACGAGTCTTATCTTCTTTTAACTTTTCTTTTCTTTTTTGGGTCAGTAGGACTAGGACACATAAGTTATATCAAGTACCTGTTTGGTTTTGCTGGAATTTAAATTTTTTTTAATAAAATTAATAAAATGTGTGATTAAAAATTGATAAAATTTGTGAAATTCATGAAATATATGATTAAAATTAATTATTTTAAATTTAAATTTTTATTAATTATTTTAGCTAAATGAAAAAGGGTTAAAATGGCCAATTCAAACTTCTCACGGTAGGTTGGCACGTGATTGGAGAAATATTCACTGGGTAGGTTGGTGCCTCCATCGAACATGAACATGTTTTTAATGATATTTTTCACTAGGTAGGTTGGCATATAATTGGAGAAATATTCAAAAAAATAATGCATTGTTATATTAAAGTAAATGGAAAATTTGAGAAAGCTGTTAAAACATTTTATGTGATGTGATTATGAGTTTCAATATTTAAAAGTGTAGTTCTCAATCTATGTAATTTTGTAAATTTGGATGAGACATAGCCCAAGGACGGAGTCAACTCGACAAGTCAGTGTGGTCGCTCTTGTTGACTCCATCAAATGGCTTTTCTTCCCCTTTTATTGGGCGATCGCTCGATAGTCGTTAGCTCGGGCAGAGCGATCATCCGTCCTCACCTGAATTCCTAGAACCGCTATTGAGTCTTAGCCTATGTTTGGATAAGATAAATATCAAAATTTTAGTAGATATAAAAAATGATGAAATCTATGATTGAAAATGTATGGATCTTATGAAATATGTAGTTAAAATTATTGTTGATTTTAAATTAAATTTTAATTCAATTTTGCAGTTGAAACAAATATGGACATAATCAGAATCATCAACATTGATGTCAAAAGCGTATGTAATTAAAAGCAAGAGAGGACAATAATAATGAACCACTTAGCATTTTTCTTCGATTGAAGTGAAAAACCACTTGGGATTGTAATATCTATATTAGTGATGGCAAAAAAACCCGCCACGCCCTGCCCCGCCCTGAATGAGGCGAAAAATACCCACCCCTACTGGTTGGTGGGGCGGAGTGGGGAGGGGGTGTCCCGCCCCGTGAAGAATAAAAAAAATAATTAACTACAAATTAAAAACAAAAAATAGTTAATTGGAAGTTTTTGAAAAAAAATAAATAAACGGAGCAGGAAACGGGGCAAGTCCGCTATCCGAGCCCGCCCCGCCCCGCCCCGCCCCGTCTAAGGTGGGGCGGGGAGCCGGGCGGGACGGGACGGGGTGGGGGAGTGGCGGGGCGGGGACACAAATCTGCAGTTCCTCCAATCTATTTCCTGGTTTATGGCTTCCGGAATACGCATTGTTGCCCCGTCCCGAACCCGCCCCATTGCCATCTCTAATCTATATTGATAGTTTTCATCACTTGGAGACATAAATTCACATAATTAAATAAGTTAAGGACTCTTTTAAAGTTTGAGAAATATAAAAAGTAAAAGCAGCAATAATTAAATAAAAATTAAAGGGTGTGTATTCAATTTAGATTTTTAAAGTCTTTTATAAATATTTTTTAAATATCGACTTCATAGGATTTGTGTAAATGATAGATCTGAGTAGAATTAATTGAAGTTTTTCATAGATTTTTATTTTAAAATTTTTAGAGAATTCATATAATTTTTAAAGACTTTAATTTGAAATAGAATTTACATAAATTTAGATTGAAATTACATAGGAGGTGGAGGATCGATTCACATCTCCTTCCCCATCTCCCATGTAATAAAATATATTTGCGATAAGTGCAATTGTACAAGCAGCATTTCACCATATACCTTTAGAGGCATAACTTGCGATTTACCTCTTTCACCAAGGCTCAGAGCAGGTGGGGACCGCTAAGAATGCGGTTCATCATTTTTTTAAAAAATATATTTGTAAAAGACAAAAAAAAAAAAAATCACCTTGAATATAGAAAAAAGAGTTTACTCCGAATGTAACTTTGTAAATTGGGTTCGATGTCACGTTTATTTAACGAACAATGAAACACGTACATGGTTGACTCCATGTGATCTTTGTTTTAGGGCTGTCCGTGGGTCGGTTCAGTTCCGTTCTGAAGAGAACCGAACCGACCCAAAACTTTCGGGTATTTAATAAATGAAATCGTCGGGTCCAAATATAATTATGGAACTGTTCGGGTTCGGTTCCGTTCAATTCGGTTTGGGTCAGTTTGGTTCCGTTCGGTTTTTTACCATAATTAATTTTTTTAATATTTACAACAACACTATATAAATATAACTAATGACATTTCATTCGTGACTTTTACAAATTAACGTAGCCCAATTCAAAAACATATAAATAAATATCCGTCCAATAAGATTAATTCAATGCATACAAATACCAAAAAATAGATATTAATATTACAGCAACACTGCATAAAGTATATTCATTTGCTTCAAATTAAAATGGGCTAATGAACTTTAAAAATGATTTGAGCTTTAAAATTAGAATTATGAAATAATCTGATTTATTTAATTAATTTACTAATTTGTTGAGAAAAAAATAAAATAATTTAATTAATTTAATATAAAAAATAAAAAAAATATTTAGTTTCGGTTCTTATTCAATTTTTCGGTTCTTGGTCTAAACTCGAAATCCGACCCAAACCCATCGGTTCTCGATTCGGATCCCCGTTCGGGTATTTAATTTATGAAGAACCACTTGATTCGGTTCGGATTTGATTCGATTCGATTCGAGACTTTTGGATACCCCTACTTTTGTTTTTACTTTCCCATCACGATGGGGCAGTCCTCCTAGCACGTATAGGGCATACGTGGTCATGTGTAGCACCATTCTTATTTAAAGGAGTAAAATGTTTGAATGATTACTGAACTTTAACATGGTCACGACTTACTCGCTGAACTTCAAATTGTCTCTTAATGGTCACTGAACTTTCTGCCGTTGCACCAAATCTATCACTCACCAAATTCCGTTACCATTGAAGCTGACGTGAAAGACGGAAAACACACGTGGCAGGTGACTGCTGTTAAAAAATGATAACTCAGCGGAAACATTGTTTCATTACTCATCCAACTTACATTTTGTTACATTTCACTCATTGAACTTTAAAATACTTCCCAATGGTCACTCATCTTTGAAATGTTGCACTCTATTCATCATCCGCATATTTTGTTCCCTTCATTCCTAATGTTCGCACAAAAATTTCACGGGTAAGTTACAAATGTTAAAAAAAAATTGCAACTCAACAAAACTTAACTCACCAAAATCATCATGTATGAAACGTGACTTCTACGGCCCATCAACTTCTTTAAAACTAAATAAAGCGTCCCAATGATTCTTTTAGAAATATCATTTTTCTAATTCGAACGTTTTTTATGCAAAAAAATAGGTTTCAATATGATATTTCTAAAAAATCATTGGGGATGCTTTATTGAAAAAATTATTCTTTTAGAAAAAACGATTCTTTTAGAAATGGTTCAAAGAGGAAGAGATTTTTATATAAAAAAAAAATTTAATAATTTATTTGGGATTCGTTTGCATTTTTTGAAAAAAATTGGTAGTGTAATTGCAATTAGTTCTTTACTTTTTCTATTCTTTTCCTTTTGTTTTATTTAAATATGATGGTATATTTGTCATTTCACAATTTTTTATTGAAAAATTGGATGAAAATGATTATTTCCGCAATAAAATATGTAAATTAGGGGTAAAAATGCAAAAAATTACAAGGTTGTTACGTTTTGCACAATGAACTTCAAACGTAAGGATATTTTGTGCTAATAACCCAACGTGAGTTAAGTTTTGTTGAGTTGCAATTTTTTTAACATTTGTAACTTATTCGTGGAATTTTTATGCGAATATTAGGAATGAAGGGAACAAAATATTCGGATGATGAATAGAGTGCAACATTTCAAAGATGAGTAACCATTGGGAAGTATTTTGAAATTCGATGAGTGAAATGTGACAAATGTAAGTTGGATGAGTAATGAAACAATATTTTCGCTGAGTTGTCATTTTTTAACGGCCGTCACCTACAACGTTTGTTTTCCGTTCGCCATGCCAGCTTCAATGGTAACGGAATTTGGTGAGTGATGGATGTGGTGCAACCGCAGAAAGTTCAGTGACCATTAAGAGATAATTTGAAATTCGGTGAGTAAGTCGTGATCATGTTAAAGTTCAGTGACCATTCAAACATTTTACTCTATTTAAAAGGTAGAATAAAGGTGAGTGCAGTGAAGAGATTATAAATAAATCAGTTCGGTCTGAAGTGCAGCAGCTAAAAATAAATTCTTCCTCTCATCACTCTAAACTCCGCCACCACTGGAAAATGTTACCTCCGCCTCTCATTCTCTTCTTAGTAACCTTTTCAATTCAAATTTCCTCTTCCTCCGCCGCAGCTGCACCACCAATTGGACACCAATCCCACTTCACCAAACACAATTATCATCTCAAAAATGACAAAAAATCAGATTCATACCCACAGTACTTTGAAATAACACGCCCTCTGCCACTTGATACTCTGATACCGTCATGCACACTCCCAGTCTTCTCCCACGTCTTCAACAACACCATCGGCCTGCCGCCGGCCACAGCTTATTATTTCCCTCCGGCGAACTGCACTTGGTCCAACGTGACGCTCCACCTCAGCGTCGCCTCTAATGTTTCCCGGTATGATCCAATTGCCGGCGTGTGGCTTGACGGCGCTGAGATCCTCCGCACTAGCACCGCCGAGTCCTCTGCGGATGGCGTCTTCTGGAACGTTCGCAAGGACATTACCAGGTATTCCTCGCTCCTCCGTCGAGAAAACCTCACCCTGTCCATCATGCTCAATAACGTCGTTAATGATATCACTTCCGGCGTATACCGGCTGAAACTTACCTTCTTGTACTATGACACTCATAGTAACGAAACCAACACCGACGACGTTAATATCCTCTCGTCTTCATTTCCACTTTACCAAAAATCAACTGTCATGAAACGGGGAGAAAACCCATTAATATCTTCGTCTAATCGGGAGGAAAAATCATTGGATTTATATGAAAAGCCTGCGGATTTGATAATTCCAGTATCTGGAATTGGAGATGAAGGGTTTTGGTTCAAAATCGAGAATGATAACGACGTGAAGTCTGTGGGAATTCAAATTCCATCAAATACATACAAGGCTGTGATTGAGGTTTATGTTTCATTTCATGGGAATGACGAGTTTTGGTACTCCAATCCCCCGGATTCTTATATAGAACAGAACAATTTGAATACAAAGCAAGGCCATGGCGCTTACAGGGAAGTTTTGGTGACCCTTGATGATAATGTTGTTGGATCAGTGATCCCATTCCCAGTGATTTTCACAAGCGGGATTAATCCTCTGTTTTGGGAGCCAATTGTTGCAATTGGGGCGTTTGATTTGCCTTCCTACGATTTTGAGTTGACCCCATTTTTGGGGATGTTACTTGATGGGAAGGTGCATAGTTTCGGGCTTAAAGTGGCTGACGCTATCTCGTTCTGGCTTGTGGATGCGAATCTGCATTTATGGTTGGATGATAATTTGAAAGAAGTTCAGGCTATGCCCATTGAATACAGTGTTCCAAGTATTAAATTAGAGCGAGAATCGAAGTTCAACCAGCTTGATGGATCCTTCAAGGTTGAAGTGGAGAGTAAGAGTGAGTATTCCGGGTGGGTGAATTCGAGTATGGGAAATTTGACTACCTATGTTAATCAAGAGTTGAATTTTGAGAACACAATAAAGTTTGACAACAGTGGAACTGAGAAGGTTGTGAAGCAGGAAGTGAAGGTTAAAATAGAAATAAAAGTCAAGTCCAGTACAGGTAACTCAATTTCAAGCACCACTGTGGAGAGGAAGTATCCCCTGGAAATCACTACTACAACTGTGGTTGGATCAGCGAAGAATACTTATTTGATGACCACAAAGCTTGAGCATTCCTTGAAAGAGGAGAAGTCGGATGACAATTTTTCGAGCACTTTGTCTAACCGTCAAGAATGCAGGGGGTGGGTGTTTGTCCGGGATCATGATGTCCTCTCTGGTGCAGCAACTACTGAACAGAGCTACACTTACAAGGATGATAACAGTTGCTACTCTCAGAAACTTACAGCTGCCAATGGCGTGCTTGGGAACAACACATCAAGCCTCCTCTGTTCTTCGTCCTTGTGATCTTGTTCATGTATCAACTGCGAACAAAATGGTGTGAAAGTCCTTTTTTTTTTTCTCCTAGTCCAACCTGCATCTTTTTTATTGTAATATTAGAAGGATAGTTTCTGTGTTTGGAGAATAATTGTGATTCTGTTTGAAGGAATAGGATTCAATAATCTATGTTATATATCTATCCTTTGTTCTTCAAATGGAAGTTTATGTATATATTGGCTCATGTTCGAACCTAGATTCTTCTCTTTCCTTTCGATATATGTTTCATTATAATTGGAGGTAGAATAATCGATTTCCAATTTTTAGATTCACTAGAGTTTCCCTATGTTCAAAACTTCGAAAATTCAAATGTGCTGAATGTTTAGGATGTAAAAACCATTGAAGGGGCATAAAGTTGTACACCGACAAAATAGAATTTCTATTGAGAATGTAAGGGGCATAAAGTTGTACGCTGATAGAATTTGCTGATATACTGAAGGATAGAACATAACCATAACCACGAATTTTCATTTAAGTGCGGACTAGCTTCCTTATCTGAACGAAGGCTATTCTCCACCACCTTAAGTGCGGACTCGCTTCCTTATCTGAACAAAGGCTATTTGTGGTCGTGGGTTCGGGGAGGGTCCGTAGGGATATGGGCAAGATTGAGTGGATTTGGGAATTTGGTTTCTCAAATTCAATGTGTGGGGGGTGTTAAATCCACTCATGATTACTTTACTTTATACTTAGTATTATCATGATCACACAAATTGATTTTGATTCATCATGGTCAACAAACTTCATATAATGTTTAAATTAAGCTGCCCGATTATTACTACAATAAATAAAAAATAAAATTACATATACACTCGCTAAAAATTCACATATAATTATTACCACAAAAAATGAGAATCAGAAAAAATAAAGAAAAATGAGTATCGGAAACAAAAATAAAAAACACACACAACATGGTAATTATTACAAAAACTTAAAAAAAAAAAATTATATGAAAGTAGAAACAATTTTTTTTCTTGATTTGGGTTTGATTTATATTATATAATTTTTTAATTTGTGTTAGTGAATTTTTCTTGTATTTTTTATTTATATTTTTACGTAGTAAGTTTTTTCTTTATTTGGGTTTGATTTACATTATATAATTTTTCTTGATTGGGGTTAGTTGATTTTATTTTTATTTTGTGTGTGTGTGTGTGAGGGGGAGAGAGAGAGAATTAGTTGCATATTTTGCGTATTAGCATAAATAAAAAGAAAAAAATCATTTCTACTTTCAACACACATATATGTGTGTGTGTATATATATAAATATAATATATATAAAGTTTTTGTAATGATTACGATGTTGTATGTGTCTTTTTTTTTTTTTTTTAATTTCTGATTATCATCCTTTTTTTTTTGTTGTGGTAATAATCGAATGGCTTGAGTGAAATGTCATATGAAGTTGGGTGATTATGGTGAATCAAAAGTAATTTGGGTGGCAATGGTGACAATAAGTATAAAGTGCAGTGGCTATGGTGAATCAAAATCAATTTGGATAATCTTGATGATAGTATGTATAAAATACATTGGCCATGGGTGGATTTAACCTCACATAGAACACACAACACATGGGCATTGAAGAAAAAAAGATGAATTGGACTTTAGAGTTTGGGCTAAAAAATTGAAACAAAAAAATATTGTTTTAATGATTGGGCTAAACTAGTAAAATTTGGGGAAAATTACACTAAACCAGGTGCTAAGTTGTGGCTTTTAAAAAATCCGGTTTGTACGGTTTTTATTCACTTTTCAGGTATTTTATTTTAAATATCAAACCATAAATATATCCAAAACCTAATTAATTTTCAACCCTAATTTCTCTCTCTCACGGCTGCCCCCCCCTCTCTCTCCCCCTCCCAACACCCTCTTTCTCACCGTCGC